GCATGAACACAGGCAGAGGGGCGAAGCAGTGGGTTGGCGGGAGTCATGGAGATGGAGGCTGAGACAATGAAGCTGAGCACTGCTGAGCACCAAGTCCTTCAGCTGCACTAGTACCTGCAAACGAGCTCCCCAGTATCATCTGCAAAAACATCCACCTCATACGTTCTGCATTATTTGACCTTCTGTCCCTACAAATAATAGTGGCAAAGCAACAGAAAGCTCTCTAATGTGCTCACATTGTAATAAAGTAACCCCACTAGGAATAAAATCTAAAGCAATTACTGTGCCAGGTATTATGCTGATTTACCAAATTGCAGTTGAAAGTCAAGAAGAGTTGAGGATACGGTGATAAAACATCTGATCTAAAATCTGACTCTAAATTACCCTTCTGGCCAGCACAGTATTTCAGCCAGAAGAATTGTTATTCCTCTCATTTCTCCTCTTCAAAAATCATCGTTGAAACCAATAATTTTGCACTCCTCATGGATTGGAGTGAGGACTTGTCTGCACTTTGTGCTGTGTGATTAGCTACTAAAGGCAATGCTGAGACTGAAGAACAGAAACTTCCCTCTGCAGGGTGGGGCATACAAAATGAAAACCGTATGTAAGAAAAAGTCTCTCTTTGGAGCTGTTCTGTCCTCAGAATGGAAGAAAAGATGCACCACGTCATGTTTGCTTGATGGGTAGAGACTTTCCGTCACCTCCTGCTAACTGTGCTGGGCAGAGGGCAGGCAAAGTTCATGGTGCACATGGTTCACACTGGCCATGGTGCAAAGCTACCCTCATTGAGGGGACAGGACCTCACCTCGCTTGGCACAAGTCTTATCCTACCAGCACGTGCTGCTGTTGTCAGGGGCCTGAGGTTTGTCAAATGAAGTCCTTTCCTTTGATCCTTTGTGCATAAAGTTTTCAGAATTGCTTGTCAGGACTAGCTTCCCTTCTGTTCCATCATCTTAATAATAATGGCATTGGGTGGGACACGGGGCACTGCTGGTGGGTGATCCCCATCCTGAGTGAGCTGTCCAGAGGCACAGCATTCGCCTGGACGGCAGCCTGCGGGGCTACGTCTCTGCCCCCAGAGGGTTAACACCACTGAGATCCTGCTGATCAGATTTGCTAAACTCCCCATTACATCCCACTGCGTTGCTAATTACGTCCTCATAAGCTAAAGTCAATTAGAGAGGTTTCTCCCTGCCCGCACTTCTTGACTTCAGTCTCCATCACCAGCCTTGGGTCTGGGAGCACCTGCCTGGGTCCTGCTTCCCCCTGTGGCCCTAGAAGAACCCAGTCCCAAAGCCATTTTGGAGCCTTCTGGTGACAAAAGTGGCACTCGCTGGCTGAAAGCAGGAGCTCTGCAGTGGCCCCTGCATGGGGAACGTGACCTGTGTGGAGCAATTGCAGCCGCTCAGGCACAGGGAGGAGGGGGGGAGCTGATATCCTTCTTCAAATATGGAAAAAATTACTGCAACAAGGAAAGCAATAAATTCTCCCCGATGTTCAAATGTGAGGGATTTGCTTTGTAGGGAGAGAGATTTAGGTTAACTGCCTGGAATTGAAAGGTTTTTAGAGGGAGGTTAGGCACGCAGGGAGGGTTTAGGAAGGGCAGACCCTGCCCAGAGGCACTAGAGGGGATCAGGTAGCTTCTCGAGAGCCAGCTACCATATTTTCTACTAAAGCTGGTCATAAATGAAGGATTCAGGCCAAGGAGAGTGTTTCCAGCCACACCACTGCTGCCTGGCCAATATGCCCATAGGTCTGGGCGAGCGGTGCCTGCACCCTGCCTGCCACCCGTGTCCCCTGCCAGCTGCTGGACTTGTGCCACCAGCCAGCCCCCGTTTGGGTGGCATTTAGCTCAGGGGTCTGGCACAAAGCAGTGCTCTGGTGCTGGCCTCTCCCAGACCTTCTCCCGCGGCTGGCAGCAGCTTCCCTGTGATTTCAGCTTCTCTAAACCACTTAACTGCTGCATGAAAAATATTAAAGTTCAGAAACTCTCCTTGGAATACGTCCTATCTCCTGGCTGTGATAACTTAAGGTAGGTTTTCATCTTAATGTCCTGTTCTCCTCCCCATTTTAGTAATTGCATATGTGGAAGAAATCTCCTGGCTCTGATACTGCAGGGTAATTATCTGTTCACTGCAAGCTAGCCAGGCAGGGCCGGGATGCCATCGTGCACGCTGCTCCTCTGGAAATTTTATTATGCTCCACGCTTCGTTTTCAAATGGATCAAGATGACAGAGGTCAGATGGGGGCTTCATGGTCCGACGCTGGGCACCAGTGAGGAAGAGCCCCACGTTTATAGCTTCCTCCAGCAGCTCTGCTCACTGCCCACCTCCAGCAGCCTGTGCTGGGAGAGCCCCAATTTCGCTGTGCTCGTGCCAAGGCTCCCTGTGCTTGAACCAGCAGGGTTAACGGGACAAGGAGCAGGCACTTTTTGCTTTGTACCTGCTCTTTGGAGAACAGGAAGTGTGGGGTTAAACAAGTAGCTGCTCTAATGAAAGCTGATTTGTAGAGTTACATCTTGATTTCACGTCTCGCTCCCCTGCAGAGAAGGCAAATGCCCTCAGCAGAGAGGACTGGCACTCGATGGCCTCGCGACGACGCTGCCACGGCCTCAGAAGAGGCGGCTAACACAGACATGGTGTCAGGCTGATTGCAGGAGTTTGTGACCCGCCTGGATCTCAGCGGGGTGCCAGGGGCTCGCCACCCACCTCTCCCAGCCCCCTGAGGGGGGCTGCAGGGCACAGCCTGCTCCCAAGGCCACCGCGCCCCGCGCCACATGAAGGCCTCACCCTTGCCTCCCCACAGAGGCCACAGTGGGAAGCTTCGGGGTGGCAGAGGGTGGGATTTTGGGGTGTTTTTTACCACAGGACACAGCAGGACACGCCCCCCCCCCTCCATGCTCCTTGTCTGGTGGTCAGCAAGGGCCAGGGCCTGGCACCACAGAGGACTTGCTGCACCAGGCCCAGGGCACGGCAGTGTTTCTGAAGAGTGTGTAAAACCATTAGGCAATGAAAAAGACCATTTATCTCATCAAAAAACCCCTTAGCTCTGAAGGGTGAGCTCCCTCTGGATTATTAAAACGGTCTGAAGGCTTTAAAAAGTTATTTTAAGTCATTGGAGAGCATAAATGTTAAAGCCACTTTCATCATAAACAGGTAACAGTGGGGATAATGGGATCTTAACTATGACATTTGGACCTAAATGAGACCTGATGCCCTGAACTGCATGAGAAACGCAGCCATGCTGCAGCTTCCCATTTTTCTATTTAAATGCACCCCTGCAGAAACTGGGCCTTATCTAAATGACAGCAACTTGTGTGCGAGTAACACTGTGAGGGGAGACTCTTACGGCCAAGGCTGCCTGTAAAAACAGGCTTAAAATGGTACATTAATTAACGGGTTTCCTCCAGGCAAGTGGCCTGAGGTGTGAAATTTCCTATCGTGTTAGTTTTTATGCCATTCAAATATTCCATCCTTTTTATGTGTTCACCAGGGCTTCCTAGGAAGAGACGGAACTGGGCTCCTGTGGGCATCTGGTGGTGGCCTCCGGGCAGCACGGTGCCCCCGTGTCCACATGGACAGGGCAACGAGCTGATGCTGAGACAGGGAGGTACCCTCTGCTGAGTGTGAAGCGGGTTTTTTCCAATAAAACACGGGAAAAATGTGTGTTTGTCAGCATGGCTGCCATTGCTCAGCCATAATTTTTATTGTCAGGGTGGTCCCTGACATATTTAATTACGTACTGTAAAGCAAGGGGGGGTGGAGAAAGCAAGTGAGGATGTGGTGGGAGAGGAGGAAGGGATGGGGGAGCTCAGGAGCACGAGGAGAAGGCATGGTGCATTTTTGGGCTGCGTACCTTGAGCCACGCTGGCGAAAGCTGCCCCCAGAATAAGGAGAGACTGGTTCAGTTCTACTTTTCATATGTTTTATTATAAAGAAAGGTAAGATAAGCATTGTGAACCGAATGTGCCAGGTGCTGCGAATGCAGCACCTTCAAACAAAATAAAAAATTAAAAAAAAAAATGCACCTTATGAGAAACTGTAATTATGCTCTCTAATCTTTCATAAATAGACAAAAATCATTGTCAGCAATTTTTAAATAGATGGACATATGGCAGAAAAAATATAATAATGCCATAGAACATGGATATAAATTGTCCATTTCTTGCTGTACAAATAATAGAAACAAGTTTGGCAGGCTTTTTTTGTTGTTTTTGTTTTTTTTATACACATCTCCCTTCTATGTATAACTAAAAAATGTGCTACAATTAATATAAAATGCTTTTACTATAAAGTAAACTACTAATTTTTTTTTTCACAAAAAAATCTTAAAGATGTCTTTAGCACAGCTCTAAAACACTTAGTAAACTACTTACAACTATCCAACAAATTATATTTTCATGATCTTTTTCACATTTTTCTCTCATATTTTGCCTTCTGCTCTCTCCCCCCACCTACCTAGGAATAGTTTTTATTTAATTTTTGTATTTTTTTTTTTTGCCAGACATCCAAGGCCTTTGCATGTACAATATTCACACAAACTTCACATTTTTCTTGCACAAAGTTTAGTGCTGTTAGCAAGTCAAAAGAGTGCATCCTCCTACTGAGCTGGCCTAATGCTTGAGGACACCAGACCTGGGCTTATGCTGTGTCTAAAAGCAGTTCACTAGGAAAATAGTCTGTAGCTAAGCTGATGGCAAGCAGAAAAATGGTGTCCCCCTTTTTTTTTTTTGTTGGTTTTGTGTTTATTTATTTTTTATATATATATATATTTTTGTTCTTCATGATTTATGAGGTTTTGGGCTTCCACAGAAAGTAGACTTTAGAGTTCACAAATAATCAGAGAAAACTGCTCTTGGAGCCTGGGACTGAAGCCAGCGACGAGGCGCAGTGGTTGCTGCTCGTCCGTAGGACTTGCTCGGTGCCTCTCCGTGTAGTCTGTAGGATAGACCCCCCCCAAGTGTCCTTCATCTGAGCCTCCCCGAACAGGGATGGTGAGCCTTAGGTGAGGTAGAGCGCCTTGTCCCTTGGCAGCATGCTGTAAAAGAAAGGAGAGGCAGGAGGTGAGACAGGCTGGAAAATGTCCTGGAAGTCCCTCAGGAGAGCTGGCTGTCAGCAACAAGCACTTGCGTGGCTGTCGGCATGCTTGCTCTCAGCCCCACCGAGGCTTTTATGGCTCCACAATGCAAAGCATCCAGTGGCTGGCACCTAGGGACAGGCGTGTGGAGAGGAACCAAGCAGAAGGCACTTGGGACTCTGAGCTTGCTGTAGTTTCAGTTCATCCTGAGTTGTAACAGTAAGGGCTGAGACACCAGGTCACCTCCAGGGGGAATTTTGGCTCTTGCTGGGCTGCAGGGAAGGGCCAAGTCTGGATTTCCCTGCAGAGCACGCAGGTGTGGCACTGGTACTAGCTCCTCCACCACGCAGACACGGTCCTCAGGCTCAGCCATGGGGGGTTAGGAAAAGTGCACTTGCTTTTGGATTAAATGTGTCATTTTGATGCTGCACATGGAGTAGGGGGTCGCAAAAATGTAATTAAGGGGCTTATGCCTGAAGATGCCTGTGGGTGTCCAGGAGGATTTACAAAAATGAGGTGGCTGAAGACTGTGGGAACAGGAGACATCACCTGCTCAACGCCCTACTTCTCCTCCCCCAAAATAAGTACAACTAGAAACGTTAACAATCAGGAAGTAAGGGGAAAAAATGCTGTGAGACAGCAACACCAGCCAGTCTGCCCCTCAGTCTGCTGAAGGCAGCAAGAGGCAAAAGAAGCCCATGGAAGACGAGTGTGCCCCTCTCCCTGGCTGAAAGGCAATTTGGGCTTTGCTCTGAAACCCATTTCATTTGAAAGGGCTGTATCGTCTGCACAGCTCTGGCAGAAACATTGTTGGGGCCTTAGAAGTAGTGAAGGACATTACAGAGCTTTGGGAAATTCTGGTGTGGGTGTGATTGTGAGTGGAATAATGGGGAAAGAGCAGACAGCAAGGCAATGCTGCTGCTGATAGAGTGCAGTGCAGAAGAGTCTGCACTTTGTTAGTCTCCACATTTTATAATTTGCATTTAAAATGCAGAGTGTTCCCTACTGCACTCAGCAAAGATTTAATACCAGCGAGCAGCAGTGAGGTATTCCAATACTAAAACTTCATTAATTTTACAAAATATGCTACAGAACACTTCCCAGTTCATTACGGTGTATTACTATAAATAATTGAATCCAAACTAAGTGCATTTGTGGGGTTTTGTCTTTGTCTTTTTAGAGAGTTTGCTCACTTAGCTTCTGATTCAGAAACTTCCCCCACTTAGAGTGGATTGCTTCATCATTAGCAGGAATGAGCACGGCTGTCAGCGTCGGGCTGAAGTGGCTCTACATGGCATCGTGTGTCTGGACAAGGCATACCTGGGAGCGTCCCAGCTTCTAGCCCAAGGGAGTGGGAAGAGGGGAGAAAAGCTGCCCAATGACAACACATTTATAATGGCAGCGTCACACAACGGCATGCAGGTATATTTTCAGCTGCTCACATAACTATCAGGCCTAGGCTATGGATAAGGTGAAATCCATGGGGATTTCAGACAACACACAAAGATCAACACGGGCTGGGAGGGCCTTGGAGCTGTCTGATTCCACCCAAAGCGGGGCCATCTAGGTGCAGGTTTCTCAGCATCTTCAGAGTAACACCGTGTCTGAATAACAGCATCCCCAAAACCTGGTGGATACAGTTACCTCTTGTAAACGAGAAGGACATAGGGAGATGACTCAAGTTCAGTGTTACCACCCCAAATCTAAATAGTAGGAGGCAAAAGTGAATGAATCCCAGACAGCTTTGGTATGGAAAGAGCAGAAAAAATGGTGAGGTGCCTTGAGGAATTAGGAAAGACTTGCAAGTATTTGCAAACCACGCTGCAACCTTGGTAGAGGTGAGCTAACTGCTGTGGAGAAAGTGACTGCAAAACACAGGAATTCGATGGGTGCCTGGGAAAGAGCAAGCACGAGAACAAGGTAGGGGAGATGGGGGGCTGTGTAAATATAGTTTGTGATACGATGGCAAAAAGTGCTGAAATTGTATGCTGCAATTGCTTGTGGGAAGTGATAGTCATGTACTGAGTGGGAATGGAGAAACGCTGCCCATGACTTTGCTAGCAATCTAGGGTAGCTTGGGCTTAAGCCCAGAAAGAGCTAGGAAAATTGGATGGAAGTCAGTGAGCACAAACTCATTAAGAAAAGGGAAGGGGATGGGCTAAGAAACATCTAAATCCCTCTCTAATATGGCTCATTTATGAATTAAGGAGTGCCTGCTCACAGGATCCTGGATCTGAGGGGTATAAGTGAAGAAGTATCATTTAATGGCATTTTAACTAGCACTGACTGGCTGAAAAAAAGCTTCAGCAATTCTTCCTAAAAGGATTTGCTCGATAAGGAGGGACAGAGAGAAAGCCAATCTCGTTGGCTTTTCTAAAGTTGTCTGGGTGAAAAACACAAAAGGAAATGCAGGACTGGGGGGTTTACCCCAGCTAACCCAGTGCCGACATCATGGGAACTGAGGAAACACCAAGCTTGTGGCATGGAGGCGAGGGGGAGCCCATGGGCAACTTTGATCAGAGCTTGCAATTAGTGCAAAACTGGAGAAAGAGCCTAGGCAGGAAGAAGATGATGAGAGCCAGATAAACCTCTTTTTGGGACAAGCAGAAACGGAGACACGGGGGCTGCAGCTCAGCAGTAAGAGTAAGGTCCTACAGATGCGTGCCGACACTGCAGGCAGCACAGCGCACACACGTTGGTAGCAAACACGAGGGGCTGGCAGCAGCAGGAGGTGGTGGCACTGCTGATGCCCCAGGCTTTACAATCAAATGGAAAAAGTCAGCTCTGGGAGCTGGGTTTCCAGCAGCTCGTCTGTCTCTAGCCAGAGGAGATGGGCTCTTTCCTTAAGAGACGACGGCATTTTTTAGTGCACTAAGCGCTCTCGGCAGTACTGATCCATATGCATCTGAGTTCATTGCTGTAACCTACTCTAATAATTATCTGGAAGTCTCTGCATAATCTGTCTGGTTTTAAAATATATTTTTTTTCCAGGAAGCTGCGATAAACCCATGAAATTCGATATTTCTGCTGTGACAAAGGCATGAAATGCATGAGCTTTGATCATGAATTGCATGGGCCCTCTGCTAACAATACGGCGCTCTAGCCGCATGGCAAAGAGCTTGCTTTAGCAACACAAAACCCAGTCCTGCCTGCAACGTTAGCATTTCACCTGTGTCTGGGAGACGCTTCTGCTCAGCTCCTTTGCAAACTGGGACCCGTGTGCCATAACCCTCCAAGTGTTTTGCCCACAGGATCTAAAATTACATTTATCATCGAGCCCCAAATAGCTTCCTCTTGTTGGGTCGTCTGCGGAGCCCTCAGTATGGACCATGCCAAATTCCCTGGCAGAGCCCAGAATAATCCCTGTAGCTGAGCACCCCCGGCAGGCAGACAGCAGCCATATTCTAATGGCTCGGTGAGTTATTTATTTCCCTGAAAGAAATAAATGTCTGTACAGTCTGTGCCCAGCCCAGCCATTGTAAGTGCACTGCTGGCACAGGCATGAGCTGTACTCTGAAAAGCCTGGGAGCTTGCTATTATCTCCAGTGAAAGCACTATGTTCCAGCACTTCAAGCAAATCAAACAATACTCAGAAGCTACTAAGCCTCCTTCCCTACCTGCTCTAGCAGCAAACCCCGTGCCTGTTTTACAGAGTACAAGAGCAATCTCGAAACTATTACTGCTGAACCAAGAGCACCTGATTAGGCTGAGGTTGGAAATGGCTTTCACACCCTCACTGCTCCCCAGCTTTGAGACGATCGTGATGGTTTTAATTATCGGGGAATTCAAGCAGCATTGAAAGGACCTTCATGCTGGAGCTTGTAAGCTGCAAGGGGAAAGATCTGCACAGATGTCGGTGGCCTTTCCTGCAAGGTGCAGAGGACCAGAGCATCACGCAGCTCATGGGAGGAGGCTTTGAACCTTCTCATGGCTAAACCCTAGGGTGGATAAGGGATCTGCTGCTAGAGACAGCCAGAGATTGTTGCCTTGGCAATAAAAGCAAACACTTTAGAAGGAGAAGCACTTTGCTTACGGATGTGGCCAAATGCCCTCAAAGCCTACCATCTCTTGGGACTCACTGGGCAGCCACAGTGGAGCTCCTCAACAAGAGTTTAGTTCTCTCAGGCAAGCAGCAAAACCACAAACTGGCTGCTCGGGCTGCACACAGCAGCCACTGCTGGCCAGCCCACATAATAATCTGGCAAGTAGTTCTAAAACACTCATTTCCAGGGCATAATGCACCAAACACTCACAGGACACGGATTTCTTTCCCGTTCTTTAGGTAATGGCCATGCATGACCCAATGCATGCAACAGGCTGGGCTTCCCTGTCCTGCTCTGGAAGGAAGCGTGTCAAGCTCTCCCATTGCCAATGGCATAGAAACCCCCAAAAAGAGAAAACTCCTCATTTCCAATGATGAAATTATCCATGATTTTTTTAGCTACTTGCTTCCACAGCATCACATCAGTGAGCCTACAGAGGAGAGGAAACCATGAGCATCATTTACCATAACGAGCCTAACCACTTGCTGTATCTTTGGGGGCAGGTTCTCAACTGCTGCAAGCTGCTGGACTACCAACAATTTACAATCACACTGTGTATCCTGTACTTTCTGGTTAAAAGATGCTGACCCATTTGGCTTGGAGGAGGCAGGAAAACCACTGCAGAATTTGCTTCTGCAGCTCAGTGATGGCTCAACCATGCCCCAGTGGCTCTTCAAGCCCAGGGCTCTTGTCAGACCATGGGAGGAAGGAAGCACCGTGACAAGGAGATGCAAACTGTGCCGCACCGCATTTTCCTCTTTTTACCACCGTCCCTATTTGAACATCAGATGACCGTATGGTCACCGTTCAGGTGTCACGAGAGATGCCCCATTGTGTCTACTGGCCTGCAGTGGTTGATCCCGCACTCTCTGCTGGGGTAGTCGCTGTCCCACTCAGTGCTTCCTGGAGGATTTGATGCACCAGGTGAACGGGGCCCAACGCTGTTTTGAAACTCAGACGAAATATGCGAAAAGTCCTGCGGGGTGGAGGAAAGGAAGGGTTACACGCGCCCACAGAGGCAGGACAATCAAAGATCTAATAATATTGCACAGACACGTCTGTGTGCCCCAAAACCACTGCAGTACAGGGTGTGGGAGCACTTACATTGGGAAAGCAGCGAGTCCAGCCCAGGACCTGAAAACCCCTGGTGGGACTGAGCAGAACGTGGGATGCTGCAAGCAGGTGTCCACGCAGCCACGTCTGCCCTGCACCCCTCTGCCCGCCTCTTGTTTTTTGGGTCCTCGAGGGGACAGTAAGTGGCTGCAGAAGCATGGCCAGGAAAGCCTTCGCATCAGCATGCGGGCAGTCAAACCCATTTTTCCACTCGAAGTGCAGCTCCCTTTGCAGTAATGCATTAGCCCCTCGTAATGTACGGTAACAAGGCAAGGAACAGCCACACAAGCAATACTCTCTCCATCAGCTGTCACTGCTGGCAATTTACAAGGGCTCTGTGGGGCTGTTTTATCTGAAAGCCCATCGCGATCCCGATTTTTTGGGGCCTGCTTAATTAGGCAGTACATATAAAGAAAGAGAATCATGGTAGTTACCTGACCAAGAATATGATTTTCTCTAAAATGTCAAAATTAAGAAAGCATGTCTTTTTTTTTTTAACCATTTAAAATTTTATTAACAAAGATGTGGAATGAAGCTTCACAAAATGCTGCTCTCAGCAACAAAACATACCCCAATTAAAGTGATTACGAGGATCCCCTTTTATGCTCATTTTTGCATGTGGGCTATCACTGAATTACAGAGGCCACGTTTGCTTATGTAGACCCAAAGTAAAATCACCATGCTGCAGACGTTCCTTGGGATACCCTGAGCAGGCTGGGAATGAAAACCTGTTCTAGGATCTGATGTTCCCAAATATGTCATCTTTCTCTTACTGACAGGGATAACTGTGCTTCCACATCCCTACTCTCCTTTCCCTTGCTTTCACTGCAGTAGCTATTCCAAAATTAACAGTTTCTGTTTTCTCAAAGCTAGTTCCAAACTGAATGGGTCACATTATGTGAAAGAAAGCTTTGTACATCACTAAAATACTGTGTGAATTTTGTGATATATAGCTAGTAAACACGTGAAACACAAATTATTCAACCATCTGGGTGAATAATACAGTTAAAAGTATCATCAAGTAAATGGTAGCAGCTGTGAATTCAGAGCATATGTCCTTCACTGTGAATAGTTGGTCCAGTTCATATTCCAGATGGAGAAACTCTGGAAACCACTCATCTCCCTCTCCATGTACTGGCATCTTCTCTATAAGGTGGAGGCAGTGGTTCTTACTACTGCCAGTTTTTCCTCCAGACACATTTTCTTACTGGATTTAGAGAAGGGAAGCAGTGACGCCTCCATGTGGGCTGCCAGCCTGAGCTGGCCATGGCTAGGGGTGGTTTCTGTCGGTAGGTTTTACACCTTGTAGCCAGGTCCATGTGATTCGTGTCCTGCTGGTAGGGTTAGCATACGTGCAGGCATCCTCTTGGCTCTCTGCCACCACAGCGATGTTCTCCAATGTTTTGGAGAAACACTCATTTTCCGTCCTGCTAGTGACGTTCCCTCTACCTTTTTCTTCTTCCTCCTGGTGAGCCCCACCTCTCGTTCTCCCACCCCCTTTCAGCCCTCCCTTCTTTCAGCAGCATCACTGGGGGGCTTCCCGCTGACCACCCCCCCAACCACCTCAGAAGACCACTGGTGAACCCCTCCCAAACACCGCTGGGGGCCACGAGCAAATGGCCGAGCACTCACCTGCTGCCCGGGAGGCGAGGAGTTCATGGGGGGCTGTACCTGTAGTGCCATGGGGGGGGACAGGAGGGGCTGCTGGGGGACCTGCTGCATGCTGAGGGGCTGGCTGAGGAGGGAGCTCTGCGGGTGGTGCAAGGAGAGCTGCTGGTGGAGGGGAGGGCTGATCTGGAAGGCGGGCGGCGGGGAGGCACTGATGCTGGGCAGCATGGGCTTGGAGGGCAGGGTCCGGGGCAGGCTGGGGTGGGGGTGGCCGCGGTAGCTCTGCAGGTCCGACGGGGACAGGAAGGAGCCCAGGCCGGGGTAGGGCGACGAAGCCTGCGGGGGCATCGGGTACATGGGCTGCTTGGGCGAGATCATCTTGGAAGGTGGGGTGGGTTGGGCGCTCTTCGTCTCCCCCTGGTCGGCAGAGCTCTGTTGGAAAACAGATCATGGGTGAGGGAGGAAGGCAGGGTGGTTATCCGTCCCCAGGCATCTCTGCTGCCCGAACAGGCTGTAGGCACCAGGGCAGGAGCGCAGGTTGCAGAGACGTCCACCTGGAGCCTGTGCTGACCGCGCTGCTGAGCCCACTCCCATCCCACCCAGCCAGCACGTGCATCTCCAGCACCAGGGCTAGCAAGGGGGCAGCAGGCTGGGCCTGGCACCCAGACCTTGGAAATTAACCTCCAGAAACTCCACTGTACATTCGGCAGAGCCTGGAGCATGGGAGAGGCATCAACCGGCACACAGGCAAGTTGCCTGTCCGCAGCTCACCCCATGGGTCCAAACAGGTGGGTGAGAAAATCACTTTTGCTTCCCGTAAAGCACAAATGGGATGGTAAAAATTCTGCTGGCTTAATCTCGAGCATTCCTGCAGCCCTGTGGGCCTATAACGCACAACACAATGGTGGCCTCATTTCTGCAGGAAAAAGGGACGAACGACAGGACATTTTCTGTCTCGGACAATGAGGTTTTTGTCCGGTGATGGGCTCTGTAACAATCCTCCAGATCTTTTCTCACCCAGCAGCAGGGAACATACTGTGCTGTTTTACTCAAAATATAGTTGCTCTTCTGCAAAAAAATCGGTTATTGGAGAGATGGGGAAGAAAATGAAATCATGATGTGTGGTGACTCCATGCCCTCCATGCCACCTGCCCCACATTGATGCCGCACACATTCAAAGCAAGACCCTCATAGGTTACCAGAGGGACTAAGAAAAGCTTTTAAACCCCGAAATAGCCCTTTCTATGGCCATTTTAGACATCTGTCCTTGCTGCTGATCAGTTCACAAGTTAATGGTGATGGTGCTCATGCCTGTGCAAAAGCCTTGAGCCTTTCCAGCGCACCACCAGCCGCATGCATCCTGCAGATTTGGGACATCACATTATCTCCTGTGGCAGCTGCATCTGATTTTTAAGTACTGAGGCTGTGACACAGCACCAAGCACAGACAGTACATACAGCACAGCACATCGAGGGAGCAGGAACTGGACAAGTCATCAAGATGCTCCGGTCCTGCTCTGCCACCCACAGCGCCCAGTGCACACCAGCACTGCCCAGAGCATGTCCCAGTGCTGTGCCAAGAGCTGTGGGCGTGCTGGAAACCCTGCAAAGGCCCTGTGGGGCTGCGTGTCTGTGTTTGGCCAAACAACACAAATGGACTAAGAGAGACGGACCAAGTCACCAGAGATGTGACTTCAGGGGGCAGCTGAAGGTGTGGGCAGCAAGGAGAAGCAGGTTTGTGGAGTGGCAGCCACAAGAGCAACCAGGCTGTCCCTGCCTTTTTCTGTGCCCGTCCTTGGTCCTGGCACTGAGGTGGGAGCAGGCAGCAGCCACGTACCTTGGAGACCAGGCTGGCCCGGTACGCGGCCAGGGCTTTCAGATACTCCTTCTTCGCCGCTTCTGTTTTCCTCTTATAAGCCTGAAAGGACCAGACAATGAAGAATGGTTAATAAAGCAGCACCGGCTGCTGCTGGGCTCGGCTGCACCCTGCCTGCTCCGCCGGACCCCCTCCCAGCCGATGGGGATGGGGCTTTGGATCACATGCATGAAAACCTCAGTTCTGCCAGAGAGGAATTTACCCCAAATCAAGCAAATAAAGCCCTGGGAGGCTGTTACAGGGAGAAACCACTGAATTCACTTCCTGATAGGAACTGGAGGAGACTGCGATCCAGGCTTTTGGAAAAACAAGACAAAGGTCCAAATCCCCAAATTACAACTTAAAAAATAGTGAGACATTCAGAAATCCTACACCACTGCCTCATTTCCCTGGCTTTCCCGTTACTGAGCCAAGAGCTCCCACTCTGCAGCTCTTCTCTGCAGCCCTGGCAGCTGGGAAGCCCTTTCCCTGGCATATCAAAGTCGAGATTTTTGCCTAATCTTATGACTCGAGGAGCTGGGGCTTTCAGAGAAACAGTAAGTATCAGGAGGGTTTGCTACGCTAAGGAAAGAAAAAGCTTTGTAGGAGTGGATTAGTGTTTATTCTCCCCTCTCCACCCTGCAGCTTCACAGGGCTGGTCTCCTTTCTGCCCTGAGTTAGCTCCCCTTGCAGGGAAGTAAAACAGCACAATCCAGGCAGGATGACTCCCTGTGTGGTAAAACAGATTAAGCCGAGCAAGCAAGAAGAATGTTTTAAAATGGAATAATAAAAAAGAAAAAATAAGCGAAAGGAAGAAACTCCCAAGTAAAATATCCATCAGCCCTCGCCTCCACTGGAAACTCAAAGCGGCACAAATGAAGGTAATTTCAATTAGAAGAGCTTTGCATACATTTAATTCTGCTCTAAAAACAACATCAGCTTTGAACAGTCAATGTGCTGAAGCTTGGTGGGGAAATTGAGCTTTTTTCCACGGCAAATTTCCTACGGATGGGGGAGGTTGGGAACAAATAGTTAAAAATCGCTTCGTGGAAGCCTGATTGCTTGCTCCTCTCACCTGGTGTCTGGGTGCCCAGACCAGAATGTCCCAGCCCTGAGCATCGGCCCTGAGCATGGTGCTGCTGCCCCGGGGCGATGCTGGGAGGTGACAGATTTGGGGTGATTCCCACTGACTTTAAAAAAAAAAGGGTGGTGCCGCTGAAATTCAAGCAAGGAAGCAAAAATGCTGCAGCAGACAGACCAGTGCTTTCACAAAACCGGTTTGGTTGTGCAAATTTAGCAGAATTTCCTCTTCTGTTTGGGATTTGACTCAGCATTGTTTTCATGTTGTGCTTTTGTAGTTCCCGTGCCACCTGCCATGACAGCGCCCGAAACTCCCTTCTGATAGAAAATAACCTCTGAACAGAAAAAAGCAGTTCCCGCAGCCGAGATGTCCACTTACTTGAATTTCAATTTAAAATCAGCACGGATAAATTCTATTAAAAATGGATTGAAAACCTTATTTTCACTGCTAAATCTGAGCGAATCCTTCAGTGAAACATTTTGCCTGGACACACCGGAGGTCTCAGCCGGTAATTTTCTGAAACTGAGCGTTTTCCTAAGTTTGTCTTTGGCTTTATGGTATTCGGCAAGTATTACATTTGGTCCATTCAGAACAAAATTACATTTTGAAATGTCAGCCCGAAGAAGAGTTTGCCTGTGAAAAGCAACTATTTCTTCAAACCGTATCAGTTACCCTAATAAAGGCCATTACCTCTCCCTACAGCCCTTGCCTCCCCGATGTCCGTAGCCCACCGCAGTAACTCCAGAGCTGCTGCTCCAGCATTTACTGTACAACAGAGACGTGGGGTTTCCATCAGCTCTGCTTCCAGCAGATGCTCGTAACTGCGGTGTCTGATGCCTGCACAATGAAATATGAATTCCTGCATCTCAGCCTGCTATAACGATGGGTGCTGATGAATTGAAAACATTTTTATTTTTTTCCTCTGTAATAGCAAAATGCCATCAGTTTTTTTTTTTTTGCGTTTTTTTTTCTTTTTTTTTCTTTTTTTTTCTTTTTTCCTTTCTTTCGTTTTTTTTTTTATTATTATTATTTTTTTTCTTGAGGATGGAGGAAACCAAAGTACTCATAGCTACACAGAAATAAATTTGATTATTAGGAAAATTTGACTGGAGAATACCTTCAATTTACGGTTGTGGACAGGGAGAGGGCGGGTCAGTTAGCCTTCCTTAACCCAAATGCAAATAAATGCCTAACTAACCAATTTGGTGCCTATCTTCATCTCAACCACTTGTTCTTTTGTGCTTTTTTCTCACTCTTCACCCGTCCTTGTCTTTCCTAGCAGGCGGGGGCTGTGCTGTGCTTGTGTCTGCGGAGATGCCGTGCGTGGCTGAGCCCCAGGCCAGCTCCTGCCCCAGCCCTGGCCACGAGCCTGGTCCAGGGAAGGGCAAGAGGAGGGCAAGCCCACGCTATGCCCATGGCTGCTCTCCCACACCCGGCTATTTCCACCTCAGCAGCATTCCTGGGGCTTCACCTGGTCGGTGACCGTCCCTGTGCTGGGTCTCCTGCGGTGCTGCAGGAGGGGACATGGTTTCTGCACCCACACGCTGCTCCATCGCGGGCGTTTAACAGCAAAGACGCAGCCTGCCGCCACAGCCCCGAACACAACTTCGCACCAATCCTCTGTGTAAAAGCAGCTTCAGCGCTGTATTTATAACCTTTAAAATTTTAATTTAAACATTGACAAAACCATGTTACTTTCTAATTAAATCCCATTTTCTCCCAGGGATTTTAATTTCCAAGTAATTTATCAGATTTAAGGATCCTCAAAACATTTTGCATGTTTTCCTTTCTAACCTGCCATGCCCGCTGATTTATTTTTCTTATTTGCTAGCAGGAGGATTCATTAGTCATTAAGCGAGTGGGTGGGTTGGGGGGGGGAGCAGAAACGGTTAGTGATTATGAAAACAAAAAATCAGAGCTGTAAGAAGCATATGTTGGGATCGTAATCCTGACACCTCTGTGTCTCAGCAAAGCAGCTAGTAATTGTACCGTAATGAAATGTTCTTGTTTGATAACCAGTTAATTAGAGAAGACAATTATTCCAAACCCCGCTGACGCCCACGAGCAGCTCGGTGTCGTGCAGGCAGCGACAGCAGTAGCTGCTGTCAGTAACCTCTGCATCCCAGCCCCTGAACGGCAGCGCTGCTTTCCGAGCTGGACAAGAACAAAAAGGACCCCAGCTCTGCCCTGAGCCCCTTCTGATACTCCGTGCCTTCATTTTGCAGCAGCAAGGTCCGCAGAGCCCCTCTGCTGCATCCCTAGCTGGAGTTTGGGGCATTTCGTTTCCAGAAAGAGACAGAGACCATCAGGAGAGAGGAGCTGAGAAGTGCACAAAGGTCACCGAGTGGTGCTGAAGGACTCTGTTTACTTAGACAGAAGACCAGGAGGAGCCACAGCCTGCAAATGTGACACTGCGAAGAAGGAGGCAAGGAACCATCCTCGGCATCGAGTGCAGATAGGAAAAGAGGCAATAAGTTTAAGCTGTAGCAAGGGAAATGTTGGCTAAGCAAGACGAGAGTGTTCCTAACAGGAAGGATAATTAAGCACTGGAAGAGATTGCCTGGGGAGATGTGTAATCTCCACCACTGAAGGTTTAAGGACAGATTAGGCACATATCCATCAAGAATGGCTTAAGTAGAGATGATCCTGACTTCAGGCAGCAGTGCGGTCTGGCTGACCTCTTAAGTCTCTCCTTGCTCTCCTTTCTCTGACTCCGTGACTTTTTTCCCCTCAGATGTAGACATTTGGATCTTATTCTGCTTGTAAATCTGGAGGGCTTTTTCTTGTAACAGTTATAGCCTTTCCTTGAAAATCTCTCTTTGCATCACTAGAACTTATGGTTTACTTACAAGGACAGCTCGAAAGCACTTCCTCCCCGCCTGGCAGTGTCCCCCACACCACCCATTTGCTTTGCATGCAGCCTCCACACGGCCTCATCCTTCCATCAGAAACGCAGCAGGTACAGCCACGCCACCCTCCTATCCCCCCCAGCTCTTCCTCACCTCCCTGCACGCCCCTCCATGTCCCTCCTGCCATCTCCTGGGGACAGCTTAATCTGTCCTCCCCCCATCAAAATTAGCCAAAATTACCCAAACCACATTTTTTTGTCTGTAAATCTCAGCACGTCTCCTTCTGTCTAACAGCTATACCCTGGATTGCTGAAGCCTGAGGCCACCGAGCTTGGACATGGGAAGCACCCGGCACCCACCACGAGGAGGGGTTTAAGCAGTGCTCCACGTCCCCAGGCTCCCCCAGCTACAGGATCCAACCCCCCTGAGGACACCTCCCTGCAAGACTCTCGCTATGGGAACAATTCTGGTGGCTCAGGAGAGCTCCTCCAGCACGCGGGTGGAGTTACAGTGCCGTGGAGCAGTCCTCTGGAGAATGAATGGATAGACACCTATTCAAGCAGAAATTACCACAGATTGAAGTGTCCTGAAAAAATCCTTCTTTTTATCCTCTGCCTTGACTCCAAGGTGCTGTCTGGGTGTAAATCAGCCATGCTCCAGGACAACCCAGTGAAGACTCCAAAACGAAGCAGAGGAGGTGACAGATCCAACCGCTACCCTCCGAGGAGGATGGAAAGCAGACAACACCCATCTTTCACAGTTCTGATTTTGCTGCCCAAGAACAGAAGTCACACTCTTGTAGCTGCTTTTAACGTCTTCCCAATCATTATTCAGATCTCCACCAGAACTCTCAACATTTTGCTTGGGACTGGTGCTTTCGCCCTTCTCTGGCACATGGCTTTCCCTGACACTCAGAAGGAGCTGAAACCTTGCAACTCCCAGACCGACCACTGTGCTCTTCCAGCCCTGTAGCAATGCTGGAAATGGGATGTTTGCTGGCCACGCTGCACACAGGTCCCCCAGGATGTCTGCTGTGATGGCTCTGCCTTAGTACAGCTGGCCCTGGACTTGTCTGTCCTGCTGCAGCTCTGGGCAGAGTCCTGCCACCAGCTGATGTACCAGGTTCAACGAGCAGGTGGATCTGATTAGATGGGTGATCTATTATTTTCTCCTGAGCAATTCATTTTTCTGTTGGGTAATTTACCCCTGGAGTGTGCACGCTGTATTATTCTCCAGGCTATGCATTTGTATGGGAAAATCGTGTATGCATTTTGCCACGGGGCGGTTTTGCCTTACTGGACTGGTCCTGGCAAAGCAGGGCCACTGTGAGCTGGTGCTTTGTGTCCCTGGTGGGTCCCCGGAGCTCCAGTCCCACCTGAAGAAGCTATGTCTGACCTGGCTTTGCTCACTTTGGGTGACTTAACCCAGGGCTCTCGCAGCAGAGCTTCTTAAAGCCTCTCCTCTGAGCTTCCAGGATCTAGGGAAACACTGACCCAATGCGCTGCTGGATTTCCTAATGGAAACCCTTATAAACCCGTGGGTTTATAAGAGAAAGCAGCAGAGACACCTACAACTTCCACTTCTAGTCATCTTCCCCATGCTCCATCACCAGGAGGCTCCTCACCGACCTCCTTTTTCCCCCAATTAGAAACCCTTCTCATCCCCATCGGATCAGGCAGCCCTCTCCAAGCTCTCCGGACAGCGCTGCCAGCACCAGCCGATGTCTGCGGCGGGGCCGGGAGCTGCAGGCGGATTAGGACAGCAGGTACCCTCCTGGTGATACCGGCTGAATTAGCATTTTGCTTTCCACTGTAGTCTAAGCTATCTCTCCGGGAACAGCTGCTAAACTATTTGCAAAGTTCAAAGAGTACGTATTAATATTTTTTTTTTCCTCGAGTCACATTCTTCAGATTCCCATGTAAGCTCCTTAGAAAGGGCCACGCCAGCTGTTGAAGAATGCAGATTACAAGGTCCTGCTAATGCGGCGCCGCAGATATTTGAGGGCATTGTTATTTGTGGCTGCGAGGCACACGCGGCCACGCTGGAAGGGGTTAAAGTGGGGAAGAAAACCGGCACTTGCCGAACAGGTGTCCTTGAGCGGTACCCAAGGACACGGAGATTGCTAATCCTGTATTCCACAGCATGATCAAATCACCAGGCAACAGATATAAATAAAAAAAGGCAGGAAATAAGGAAATTTAGATACAAGTGTGTCAGAGGGAAAATGAAGATTCATTGTGAAGAGGCTGAGAGGAGAAGAAGAAGAAGGAACAAAATGACAAAGGCACAAATGATAAACCAGTAAGAACGACAGAAAAGAGAAGGAAAAAAAAAGCCCCTCTGTGAAATACATGTCTGTGACAGCAGCAGCCAAATCAAAGATGCTCCTAGATTATATGGTTTCTTGCATAATATGCATTCTGCTTCCCGTTCAGTGTTTGTCTTTCAGCTCGTGCACAGAGAAAAAAAAAAACATATCTGAAATGGGACGTGAGCAACCTTTATTTTGCTTGTTTCATCAGGAGGAGAAAGCAAATTTGCTTTGTGGGAGCAGCAGCACCTGCTCAATGGCAAATAAATAGCTCCAGCTTTGATATTACAGTGCATATAATCATTAGCAGCCCAAACGGCAGGGGATTAACCCTCTGCATGCCGGCCTGAGCTCTCTGGCACACGGGTGGCATCCCAGTTCCCTTCGCAGAAATGGTGGAAATTAGGTTTATTGTGCCCCCTCCCTGCGCTGCCTGCTGTCCCCCGATCAGGAGATGCCGTGCTCACTGGGAAGTGGAAAATGAGGTTCATAAACCTCATCTGAAGCAGAAACTGCAGCGGTGAAAGCAATTGCTGATGAGCTGCACGGTGGGGCTGGGGTCTGCATGATGGCTGCCCAGAGATGTGGTGCAGCATCCTCAGCCCCAATTTTGGGGTGAAATTTTGGGGTGGAAGAGATCCAAGCCCAGGATGACAGTCCAGCCCCAGATTTCCTCCTCCAGCCTCAAATTCACCCTCTTTTCTCACAGCAGGGCGAGGGGAAGCTTTCTTTAACTGAAACCTTGGTCAGACCTGAGTGAGGACACGCAGGTTTGGCCCCTCTTGTCTGCTCTGCCCTCGCTGTGTTGGCTTTTCCCCGGCTTGTTTTCTGCACTGCTTTCTGCAGTGAGGCTATGAAAATATTTGAAAGGTCCCGGGCTGATTTTGGGCAGTGATGCTGTCACTGCCGAGCTGTCCTGCTCGGTCACCGTCCCCTACCCAGAGGTGCCGAGGGAGCGCTTGGCACAGGCTGCGTGCCTTCACCATGCCTGTGTGCATCACGCCCCGCTGTCCTTGGGAGAAAGGACACGCTGGACATCCTTCTTTTTATCTTTTCATGACATTTTGCTAGTTTTTTTTATTTACTTCCTTTTTTGCTTTTCATCTTCCCATTGTGTTGCCTTACAAATCTAAACAAACTTGACGGGGGCTGCTGGCATGAGAAAGCCAGCAGGGACTAAGGAAACTTCTCCAGGCAGAGGCTGGAGGCGTGAACGTGCCCCATCCCACGAGGCAAAGCCACAGAGCATCCCCCCGGCCAGGGAGGCAGCGGGGCTGGGAGGGAAGTGCACAGCTGGAGACAAAGGCAGGAAGTTAATATTTAAGCATCCAGACAAGGAACAAATGACTTAATTAAATCAATTACAGAGGGAGAAATGGAGCCACTTAGAAAGCGCGTGTAAAGAGACAGCGAAGCTGCCGCTATCTCATAAAGCAGAAGAAGGGAGAGTTAGCGGGGAAGATAAACGGACTGGTTTAATCCCCGCTGTTAATTAAGAGCCGAACATTTGCACTGTGCTGAGTCAGGGTTGCCCCAGCACTTCCATTAGATAAACCACGCTCACAGCCGAGCTCAGCGCCCGATCTACAGAGATGTCTGTAGCCAGATGGAGGGAGGGAGAGGCAGACTGGGATGCTGGAAGGGAGGAGAGCAGGAGAAAGAGGAGACGGAGAAGCTGGGGCACCAAAGCCTGAAGCTTTTTGAAGGCTAAGTCCTAGCAGCACGATGTCCATTTAAACAATTTTTCCCTCCCTGTTGCTCCCACCCCAAACGCAGCTGCTCCAAGTCCCGGCCGTGGACACCCAGCGGGGGACGGAGCCAGGCTCTAAGGGCTTGGTGCTGGAGGATTGTCAGCTGAGGCATGTTTGGGCTCAGAGACGTATTGCACACGGTGTCAGCCCTCACTCTGCCTGATAAAAAGCCGTACATGCTACGGAAAGCGTTCCCTGGGGTTTTCTCAACAGGCATGGAGCAATTACAGGCTTTAGTAACCGACTCGGCATCCACAAAGCGCTGACACCAGGGCCCGGGCGCCTCCTTGCGAGCAGCCTGAACACGGCTGACAGCCCTTGGGCAGGAGTTTCCTCTGCAAGGCCCCTTCAAGGTCTCCTCTCTGAGCTTTTGAAGCCTAAACATTCTATTTCAGGCCGGTGGTGTACAGACTTAACAGTTTTTCAGCATTTTGCAGTCATTCCTTTTAAGCAAATAGGCAAATACAAAAACCATCTCCCACCCAAGGCCAGAAGAAGCTCATGGCAGAGCAAGACCACGGAGGTTTTTACTAAGGTTGTTCTTACAGACAACAACTTGTTGTCAGAAAGATTTGTGCTTCCCCATGTAACAACAGGGATTTTCCTACAAGAGGAACAGAGGTGAAGCATCCTACCAGAGCCCCTGGCTATGCTTTGAATGGGCCTGGGGTGATGCTGACCCTCTACCATGGAAAACCCCATTAACAGCTGAAAGAAAAACACTCAAAAGATAACTCACTTGTTTTTGTTCTTCTCCCAAACTGTCCCACATTGATGCAACAATTTTCGATACGTCTCCGAAGGTAGCATTGGGGTTTTGCCCTTTGATAGCGGCTTGCGTGTCTCTGAAAAACAGGGCGTAGGCTGACACAGGCTTCTGGGGCTCATTGGGATCCTTCTTTTTCTTCTTCTTTTGGCTTTTGGGCTTTTTGCCCAGGTCTGTCGATGGTCTTTTCTCTCCAGTGACCTGCAAAACCAAGACAGTCCCTTAGCGGGCAGCTGAGCGCTGTCTGACGCAGGTGATGGGGACGAGGCAGGGGCAGAGGAGGGCTCCCAGCATGGTGAGGATGCTCTGGGGGCCTCTTCTGCCCCCAGGGAGCCTCCCTCTGATGCTGGGGCTTTCCCAGTGCTTAGCCTCAGCCACCTCTCTCCCTGGCATTGCAAGATCCCTCCTTCCATCCTCTTGCAGGACCTCTCTGAACACACTGCTTCACAGTGATCCCTTTAATCCTGAACTTCCCCAAACTCAGCTTCCACCCTGCCCAACCATCCCCCTTTGCAAGCTGCTTCTGACTTTCCTCACCAGTGACTTGGCTGGAGGCAGGAGGGCTGCAAGCACCCACCCAGCAGCACCAGCACCACACATACCCTCCCCCACCCCCAATTTGTTTCACCCTGCTAACGCTGAAGTATTCCTATCCACGAAAAAGCTACAATAGTGATGCTATTTTGAACTCATCCATCAGGTGCCCCTCATTACAGCCTGCCTGGTTGCAGCCTGCGCTCAGCACCAGCTGGGTACCGAGGGGAGCAGGACACAGTGCTGGGAGTAAAACACCAAGGTGCAGACAGGGATGTCACCAGAGAAGGCAGCGCAGGAATCAGGTCCTGCTGATCAGTCTCTGCCGAGATGCCCCGGGCAGCCTGCTGGATACACGGGGCTGCAGAAGCCTTGGAGTGCAAAGGAGGAGAGCCCTGGGCAGTGCTTGGCTGCTTGACAAAGGTCTCGAGGCATTAACTGTGCTCAGCGAAAGCTCAGACCCCAGGGAAGCATTACTGTCCTTGTTTTGGAGCGGAGAGAAAAACCTGAATACACCAGAGGTGGAACACGGCAGAGGATAAAACCATCAGCTGCCAGCTGGTGGCTGCGGTCTCAATCTCTGCTTGGCGGGTGCCCACGACGTGCTAGCACCCCCGCCTGCAATCCCCACCACGCTCAGCACCGACCGAGGGAGCTTCAGCTCTACCAGCCGCACGGGGCAATTCTACCACTTAGGAAGTTGCCCGGTCTATCACTCAGGGGTTTAAAAACATTTAAAAAAAACAAACAAACAATTGACACCTGAACACCAAGATACTGTGAAAACTGCACCTCCCAGTGAGTGCTGGGAGCAAAAGGGCTTTGCTCCTGATGGATTTGCTGATTTGACTGCAAGCACTGGAGTGCTTGGATTTAAGAGGCTTCGTTTCAGCTGGCACGGGCCAGCACGGGGAGGAAAGGGCAGCCGCGCTCGTGTTCTCCACGCAGCAGCTCTTGACTGGTCATTAAGTTCAGTATCAGCGCAGTGACATTTATCAAAGAGACAGTGACCATTAGTGAATGAGCAGAGAGACCAAAAAAATTGCATTTAATTTAAAATTGTCCAATTGGGCTTGAATGGGAGGCCTGGAGGTGAAAGGCCACCTTATTAGGAGGAAAAAAATTCATAACAGGGCTTCAGTCCATTAGCGAGCGAGATGGTATTTTAACTAACTGCGATCCCGCTCGATTCACTCAGGCGCCGTGGGGGGACCTGTTCTGCTCACAGTCGGTGGCCAGGCAAAGGAGCCAGCAACAGTCACGATACGACAGCCACGATGATGGTTTTCCACCCAGCCCTGCTCCAGCAGTGCCGAAGAGCAAATGGCATTCGTGGAAAACCGAAGGATGATGCCTGCAAGGGTGCACGGAGCTGGCATGTCTTGAGCCTAGGCTGGCTTGGTGTTTGCAGAGCTGGGCAGGACTGGGCAGGGCTCTGCTTGGTTTTCCTGGAGTTCCCCAGGTGTGATGCAGCGTGGGGTGAGACCACAGCCCCTGCAGAACGTGCCTGAGGGCCCTGAGCTGTATTCGTGTCCCGGAGCGACTGCATCCCCTATGGGGTGAGCCTCACTCAGACCGACCGTGAAGGCTCATGCAGCAGGATGGAATCACAGAACAGCGTCATTAGGGTTGGACAAGACCTCCAAGATCACCTCCTAAAATCACAGGCTCCCTGACTCTGAGGACCTGCTGGACCTGAACCACCCTCTGGCATCAGACTCATTTCGTTAATGTGTGGCTTTGTTGTCCACAAGATTGATTTCTGCTCATCAGACATCGCTTTGATGGCTTGCTGTACAAGGACCACTAATGGCCATACAAACAACGACCGATGGGTCCCTCTGAATGTTTCCAACAGCTGTGTATATAGAGAAGGCAAACAGAAACCTGCAGGGCACACAGCGGTTCTGCTGCTGTCTTTACATTTCTGGTCTCCTTCCTCCATCAAACACATCCCTCTTGTTTCACTTATCTTGCTGGGCATTTCACAGGGCGGAAAAATGAGGGGGCACGCATTTAAGATCATAAAAAAAAATCAAATCACTGCGTGTTATCATCATTTGGACATCTCCATACTCCTCCTACCCAACGTGCATCAGTGGCTCAGAAGGAACATGAGGTCCGACCACCAAAGCCACGTCCTTGCCAGTGCCTCCTGCGGCACCCAGCTGCCGAGGGGAGAGCTGAGGGATGCTGGAAGAGGCAGGGAGAGAACCTGGTGTGTAACTAAGATGAAAACTCATTTTCCACTGGCAGGAAAGATTTCATCTCTGTGATAAGCGCCTGGAACTGTGTGATATAGGCTCTGGGAGATGGCAGGCCATGGTGTCCAGTGGCACAACACATCCCACAGCACCCTCCTGATGTGCAGGCAGAGGGTTCAGGAAACCCCCGCCTGTTTCCAACCACCTGTATCAAGTCTTGTTACAGTGTTAGTCCACCAAACCTCAGTTTTGGCATCCACATTTCACTCTGCTGTGAAATGCCCTGAAGGGAAAGCTGCCAACGGATGAAAAACTGTATGAATGGTGAGAATAACTTTACCTGGATTTCCACGGAAAAGCATTTTCTCTTTTTGCTCATTCCTAGCATTTTCCTGGTTTTCCAGTCTCTGCACTGTTTGTGGCTCTGGTTATACATTCAAATCCTACCAGGTATTTTTAGGGGATGAGGTTACAGTGTTGATGGTGTCATCCTTGGATCAGCACTGTCCAGGAGGAGCTTTTCCCTGAGAGGCTCTGACTGAAGTCCCCCAGGGAGCCCCAGGTTGACCTGTCGGCATGCAGAGGCATCACCCCTGCAATTGCTGCAATTTGTCCCCAGCAGATAACAGATGGAAGGCTTACAGAAGAGAGCAGGAAGAGTTTGCTTTGCTGGGGCATTTTGAGAAAGATGGGCAATAACCGAGGTGTCCCAGAAGCCCTGGGAAAGCCTTGGGCTTCTTCATGCTATGCTCAGCAGCAGTTTTGTTGTGGCACTCTGCGCCCCTAAGACATTGCTAAATAACTAAAACTCCACCCGGGTGAACTAAAAGGCAGGAGACTTTTCCTCTGTTACTTATGATTTCTGTTTCAATCCATAGCAGGCCACGTCCAGTGAGCCCAGTGAAATCCTACCTCACTTTTGTTCCTTGTTTTAATCTCCTCTACCTGTCCCCAGAAACCTAGTTTTGTGCCGATAAATTTGCAGAGCCTTAGCACTGACCTTGCCTTGCTTGTAAAACCCTCACCGAGCACGCAGCAGCTCGAGGCACCTGGCCAGCCTCGCAGAGGAAAGCCCAGCTCCCCTGCTGATGCTGTTACATGCACTCCCCAGGCACGAGCACCAACCTCCTGCACCTCACCCTAGTCCAGAAACAATTTTCCCATCCTTGGGACAGTCTTTCCCAAGGTTTTCCAAGACAGGCTATACACACAAAAGCTGTATATACAAAAAGGACAGGTTATTGCTCTTATTTAGTGTGATTTATCCCTCACTGGAAAACATCATCTGTCATCCTCCTCCCGCCTGCTAGAAGAGGTGTGACGGCACGTACCTTATAATGTGACTCTGTCTCCTCTTCCTGAGTAGAACTGGAGGGAGATGGTGTAGCAGACTTGCTTCCCGGGGGCGATGGGGAGCCGTGGGCGACACCGCTGCGCATCCCCATCTGGGAGATCAGCTGCGACTGGCTGAGCGCGCTCATGGGCCCCGCCAGCATCCCGGGGCGGTTGAGCAGGGGCACTTGTCGGTTGGACTCGTAGGACGTGGCGTCCGAGTGGACCATCTCCTGGATCTGAGGTAGGAGAATATCACGGTTGTCACTAAAAGATGTATTGGTTGATCGGTTATACCCTTACACTGCCTCAGGGACCGGTGGCACCTACCAGGGGGCAGAAAGAAGAGTTCAGAAAGGAGCAATCTGGGGCCAAATCAAAGGGAGATGTGAGTGTCACCACGTCCTGGGAGTTTTGGAGACTGAGCCGGGGTGTAGGGACAAGCTCTGCTGGCAGTCACCACCTGCTCTTCCGATTTTAAATACTGCTGTTGGTCCTGATCCCACTCAGAGGGAGTGTGGCAGAGAAACAACCAGAGAAGGGCAGAGACCTCCTGGCTGCCCGCTACGGTTCTGAGACGAGACGAGGAGAGGCAATGCAGGTGTGTGCATGTGGGGGGAGAAGAGAGAGGAGGGAACATGGCAGAGCTGCCCTGAAATGCCCATTTATCCCTAATTCCCACTTGGCTGTTCCCATAACGCAGAAATATGGGATGCCAAAGGGGCCTGTGGTGGCTGATGGCACACAGCCTGCAGGGACAAGGGCCAGGGCACCGTCTGCCAGCAGAAGAGCCCCCAGCCCTAGGCTCCGATTTGCCCTCCGCTGCACGGCCAAATCCAGCTGCGCAGGGAGGCAGCAGGAGGGAAGGCAAAGCCCGCTGAAACAGTGTTTTTTCCCCTTTTATATTAATCTGATTAATGTTAACACAAGCTTAAAGACCCAGGCTTTATTTATTAACAACCTTCATTTCCGATAAGCCCGCTGAGGTGCAATCTCTCATTAACAGGGGAGGCTTGCCAACTCCATTAGCAGCACGTACAGAAAGAAACCCAGGGAAGACCTGCGAGGGCTCGGCAGGTTTCAGAGGAAATAAATCCCAACGCAAAACCAGATTTAGTGCTGCAGGTCAGGAATCAAGAGCTTTGCACAACACCAGGCAGCGTGCTCCGCTCTGCCTTTCCGATTCTCTGTCGGTAGAGGAGTGCGTGTTAGGGGAGCAGCCTCTCCTAGCTCTGCCCTTTTGCTGCATTAATTACAAAGCACGGGGATTTAACTTGCAGGAAGAAAAGCACACCTTGCATTTAAACAGCAGCAGGAGTTTGGCCGAGGTTGGCTCGGGGGCCACGTTGCACTGCCGTCCTCATGCTAGCAGGAAAGTGCGTGTGTGCAAAAGCAGCAGGGCTGGCTTTGCTCCGCTGTGCAGCCACGGAAACTCGTGGGTTCCCGATCCGTGGGAAGTTTTAAGCACCATTAAAAGCTGCCTGGCTGCAAAGCTTTGGCCTTTCCTTGCAACATGCAACACGTAGGAAACCCTGGCCAAAAAGATATTGAGGGTGTGTATGCTGCAGCCACGCCTGCAAAGCCAGGTGGGGATGGACAGAGGGCTCCGGCAGTGTGGAGTGCGGGGGAGAGGGGACTCCTGCATTGAAAATCGAATTCACAAATGCCATGGGAATGGCCAGGGTGGGACAGGTGGTGCTGAGGAGCCTGCAAGGTGGCAAGGAGGGTTGGCACCCACTCGCCCTTGAGCAGCAGGCTCCTTCCCAAATTCTGGTGGAGGTAAAGGTATGTTTGTCTCAGATTTTGCTTGTTTAATCCAGACCTCTCATGTCCAAGGAGATCTGCTTGCTGCTAAGGAAAAGAATAATTGATTGTTCTTATTTTAAATTCAAATGAAGGAAAAGTTTGGAAGACGGGTGTTTTAGAAACAGGGAAGGCTATGAAACATGGCTTTAAAAAAATTAAAAAAAAAAAAAATAGCACATTCATATTTGCAGCCATGGCAGTCTCTTGGGTAAATACTGTATTAAGACAATTTTTCTGAAACTTTTATTATGTGGCCAATAGACCACAACGGCTCCATTTATCCATTAAATATGTAATCATACACTTTTTCTTTACAGTGCATGTTATTTATGCAATAGAGCAGAACAAGTCCGGGAGTGCAATTATGGATATGGGACACGTGCTGTAAATGCTTATGAAAATTCATGGGAAAAAAGGGAAACCTGAGCCCTGGCCCACAGCATCCATGAAGAAGTCTCTTGCTGACAGCAACCCAACCACACTAGCATTTTTACTGGGACACCCCAAAGCCTCCTCTCATACAGTTGCCTGTATCTGTACATCATTAAAAAGAGACATTTTTTACTTATAAGCTTTGCTATAAACTTACAAAATTTTCTGGTTTTGCCCCCAGTCCTCCCTCTCCCCCACCTCCAGGCTCTCCGGCCAGCAGGTCTGTCCAGGGAAGGGCAGGATCTGGCCCTGCCATTTGCCACTCACTGAACTTTTCTCCATTTCCCATTTTTCAATTAAAAAAATAGTTTTTGAAGCAAGACGCCAGCTGCCCCCTGCCCAGAGCCCCTGCCCACATCTCCTGGCCCCCGTTCACTGCAGCACCGATGCTCTCAGGACAGAAGAGGGCGCACAGTGGAAAAGCCATTTGTTTTCCCCAAATTTAACGGGGGAAATTTAGGGTGGGAATGAAGGCGAGCCGCCCCAGCACTTCTTCTGGGGGCTTTTTGGAGGTGACAGCCCTCGCTCAAGCTGGGGAAAGGGTTAGTCCTGCTCTGAGACCCTGCAGCTACTGAGGGGTGTCAGTGTGCACCCAAAGTTATGGACAACGCTCAGACAGCCCCCAAGGAAGGAGACACCTAGGGCAGGGCTCCGAGCTGCTCCCCTGCAGCACGTGGCCTTGTTAGGTCACCAAGTGACAAGTGAAATTGTGACCATGGCAAAGCAGAGCACCCCAGCATGCCCGCCATGAGCACGTGTTAATTATAGACAACTACAATTAACTCTGCCACCAGGAGGGGTGGTCGCAGAGCTGGGTCCGATCCTGCCCGTGCCGTGCACCACTCGGTGCAGCGAGGTCACTGTGTGACACTGACACAGGCCCGGGGAGTATTCGCAGCCTCCACCGAGAAGCTGCTTTACATCTCGGAGGAGACAGGAGAGAAATGTGTTGTAGTCAGAGCTGAAGTAATTAAGTGCATCTTACTTAGCAGATTCCCAAAGGCTGCGCTAACTCAAAGACAGCTTCTTCTTTTTTTTTTTTTTTTTTTTTTCCCCACAATATTTTTTTTTAAATGAATATGCATGTAAGTCCTACAAAGGCTTTGGCTAATCCTAAGGAGAGAAGAACGGGTTGACAAATGTCACGGGCGCTGTGCTCCATGGAGAAGGGCCAGCCACCCTTCTGCAGCGCGGGCACCCAAGCACCGTTACGACGAGGTTCAAGGTTGTGGTTTGGGAAGCCTCGGGTTTGCTCCTGAGAACAAGCCATTACAATCACAAGCAACCAGGGAGAGAAATCAGCTGCTGAACAGCTTTGAAGCCAAGTTTTCCCAGCAGGCTTTTTCCTGTATTGAAGTTTAAATGTAAACGCATCACCATAGCTGAAATGCTTAAAGATGATTTACTTAAAAAAGAGAGAGAGAGGGAGAGAGGGAAGCTGATAAGAAAATATATCCCCAATTACCACCCCTCCTCTTCCCGATTTGTAACTGCTCCTAATAAACTTTCATGGTCTATGTAAAATGCTTTAGTGCGGTGACAAATTTCTGCTGGAATTTGAGATGTCTTGTTCAGAGTAATAGCTATCTCACACAGGTGCCCAGCTGCTATTGTAAAATCAGTAAGCATTTAATTGAAACAAATGACTATAATAATAGTACATTATCCCTGCAGGCTCATAGCCATAACAGTTTTAATTATTGAGTTAAGAGTCAAACTAATTTATCCTTTAAAGTAACAGCCACATCTTTGGTTCCACTGATCATCCTATTATGAACATGAGGGCAACGGTAGCAGAGGATTTAAAAAGGAAGCAGTTCATTTTGTAGGGGCTGGGGGGCACCCATCCCACGGCAGAGCCTTTCTGCACACAGGGGGGGCCCTGGCTGTGGCTGCCCCTCCCCCTGGGATGCTGGGGCCGAGCATCCCCTGTGCACCTGGTGCCTGCTTTGGGGGTTTGGGCACAAGGACATTTCTGGGAACTGAATCAGAATTGCAGTTTTTCTTCATCAAACCCAGGAAGAGGTTTTACAGTTACAGGTTTGTAAGGAGCATCTCTGACTTCACAGCTGGGCAACAAAGAGTGAATCCACATTCAGGATGTAAAAACCATATGTTTGTGGCTCAGACTTGCTCTAGGGCACATTTGAACGCACAGCTCTCCATTTCACAGTTCTTCAGGTCACCTGCCCAGCAGCCAGCACCCACCTCGGAGCAGGGGTGCTCCCCACCCTCCCAGAGCCATCTCCAAGGAGAAGGGTCTTCATCTCCAAACACTTTTTCCCTCCTGCAGGTGGGACAGTGCTGGCTCCCCAGATGCATGTTGATACTTGTGGTTAGTTTATCGGGCTGTACAGAAAGCTCTGCACCTCTGTCATTTCTTGCCTACTTACTGCACCATCTACAAATCTCACTGGTGATAACTTAATGGTTTCAGTGGCAAGTATATAACAAACTCCAGGAAGGAGCAGTGACAAGCTGATCTACCACATGCGTACAACGTTGATTTTTTGCATTGTTTAACTTTCTCAATACACTTTGTGCTTCCAAGTCAAATGCCTTGTGGATGCCTAAATATATTATGATAACATTGTTACCTTTAGCACCCAAACCTGTAATCTCATCAAAAAAGATATCAAGTTAGTTTGACAAGATTTGTTTTCCATCAACCCATGTTGATTGGCATTAATTATATTACCTTCCCTTAATTCTTTATTAATTGAGGCCTGGATCTGCCACTCCATTATTTTGCTGAGGATTGATGGCAGGCTGACAGGGCTGTAATTACCTGGGCTGTTCTGTTTCCCTTTTTAAATATTTGCACATTAGCTCTCTTCTCGTCCTCCAGAGCCTCCCCAATATTCCAGGAATTACTGAATATCAGCATCAGTGGTACCGAGAGCTCCTCACTCAGTTATTTCAAGCCAGACAAACTAGCTCAATGTGCTAACTTAAAGAGGATTTGAGCAGATATATTTGAGAAAATAGAGTTTTATGGTCT